AATTCCTCTGTTATGTTCATAATGAAATGAATATCGAAAAACAATAAATTCTCAAGTGTTGTTCTAACTCGCCAATTGAATCTATCATATACACATCGTATGAGCAGATGAACAAACCCAATTCGGACTTTCATTTGGGAAAGCATGCATGCATGCATCTCTTTTATCTAATTGTAAATGAGTTTCTAGAAAATCGTCGTTTCATCCCTTCACCTTATAACTGTAAGTCCTCTACCATCATTCCACAACAGTTGCATTAATCTGCAGTTCATCTCAGCTGAAAACTCTACCCTCTAAAAAACGTGATACAGATGGTCCCTCTTTTATCATCTTTTCATTCCTCTTCAAAGTTCAAACTTCCTTCTCAACTGGTTGAAACCAGAACACCCTCCTCGACAATTTCTCAGTGATAATTACCCTCTGTTCTAGTCTAACATTAAGCATTGCCTAATAATGAAGTAACTCAGTTCATTTACGAACGCGACTCTGAAACAACACCAAACTTTATTCAAATACGCTTAAAATTAAAAGAGAGTAACAACAAATTAGTTCAATATAAAATAAATGTGGGATTACTGAATGAAAAATGAATAAAACCTTACCGGTTTCATACAATAAAATGGACATCATAATGAATTAAAACAATAATAAAATATAATAGATGAATGCATAATAACGGTTGGTGTATAAACTGCTGAAGAATTTAAATTACACGAAGACAACTTATTGAAGACAACTGCGCACGTGGACATTAACCCATGCAATGAATCAAAACTATCATAAAACCGTCCGATAACAAGATCTAATGAACGAATCCAGATGAGATCCGCAGTAGATACCATAACAACAAACATAACAATAGCTAGCGACAGTAACAGTGATCATGAATGACCACAACGATGGTCATTATATTGAGAACCAAACTGATAAGAATAACAGTGATAACGATAATATCAAAAACAATAATAAAAACAATAACACCGAAAATGTCAATGATATTAGGGAAATAACAATAAAAGTGCGTTCGCCATGGAAACCGCAATCGTTTCATTCCACGTCAACGCAAAACAAAACAATTTGTAAATTGAATAAATTGAACAAGAACAACTCAACGAATAATAATTTGAATACCAAAATAAGACAACTGAACACGTACGCAACCCAATTAAAAAATATAACACACAACATGTCCACAATTATCATTTTTGCTATTGTTATATTCCAAGAAATTTACCAATACGAATGGTTCAATGGGACGATGAATATGAAGTGTTGAGATACCAAAACAGTGTGCAAAACCGAAAAGAATTCACTTGACAGCAACAAAACCTCATGTATATATTCGATAAAATTGTATCTTCTGACATCAAATGATTAAAATCAACCACCGAATCCGCTTCATGAACGCGATCGACGACGACGACCTCCTCCTCCACTGTCCGAACTGCGACTGCGAGAACGACGCGATAAAGTCCTCCCACTGAAAAAAATCGTTCATTTCATCTGAACTATCAAGAAAACTACTCAAATTACATAATTTCGACCGGGCTACTGGAAACAATAANGGAGGTGAGCGTCCTCAAATTAGATACGTAAACACCGCATACTTTGGCGCTCCTTTAGTCACCGAGAAATCCACACGTACACGCATTCCATCAATCACTGCATCCTTCAAATGGTCTTTTGCCTGAAAAAATAAAAACCTCAATGATCACGACTAAAACTCCGAAAACATTCCGATGAACATTCAACTAACTAAACTTCCGGAGGCTCAATCCTCATTGCAAAACTAAATTGACGCATAACAGTACAACGATACCAAATGAAACACTCCATTTCTAAAACCATGCCCCCATACATGACGTAGCCATCACCACATAATTAACAAAATAAACCACACTCACTCTCGCTGCTTCCTTTGTCGACACGAAATAAACGAATCCGAAGCCACGCGAACGCCCACTGTATCGATCATAGACCAACTGCACTGTTTCAATCTCGCCGTACTCACCGAAAATTCGTTTCAAATCGCGCTCGGTTGTGTTCAGCGACATGCCAAACACACCCAAGCATGCACACGGCTCAGGATTATCACGTCCGTCGTTGTAGCGACTACGGCGTGGCGAGTAACGTGAATAGTAGGATGACGCAGTATTGTAGGACGAATGGTAGGGTGCACGTGAACGTGGCGGTGGGAGTGGTGAACGTGATCGACGTGAACGACGTGTTGGAGAGCGTGAGTATGAGCGACTGAAATGCGACGACTTCACTTGACGTATGAATTATCTGGATCATTTTGACATTCCCACATTCAGAGCTAATGTTTCCTTTGCCCTCACTGAATTCGTACCCATAACTTTCCGCTCAAATTGGCACAGTTCATGCGCAGTCGACGGTTGATCTCAGAATACAAATCTACGAACGAACAGAATGTGTCTTTGACTTAAACGATTAAATAAGATAAACTCTTCTACTTTACACAAGAAGAAGAGAAACAAGAAAAAAANAACTACTCAACACATATATAGAAGAAATAGATCGAGCACTTCGGACAACACACGTATAAAGAAAAGCGAACTTGTGCTGCTTTGACAGAGGTGAGGAGATATTAAGAGAATTTGGATGGTGATTGTTTGCATTTGTTTGCACGGATGGATGGATGGATGCATTGCTTGCTTTGCTTAGATGCTTGCTTTATTGTAAGATCACAGTTGAACTGATTTGATTTGAATTTGTTGTTGAAATCTGTTGGACTGGGTTGTACTGAACACACTGAATTTGGAAGATCAATAGTGATATTTGACTTGAGCTGATGCTGCGCTGTTAATTGACTGACTGATCTGATCTGATTTCATTCACTCGGTGGACTGTGGGAGAAGAAGATTCTTTTTGATCGTGTTTATTGAAGAAGATTGAGAGGAATAGAAACAATTTCAAGGAGAATCTTTGCGAGTTTACGCTGAGCAGCTTCTGATTTCTGAATGAACGCACACACAATCTGTCTGAATCGCTGCTGTCAACTGTGCTGAGCTGATGGTACTGAGCACTGAACTGATCTGATCTGATCTGATTTGATCTCTGTTCTGATTTGTTTGCTGCTTGAACTATGCGACCACGTACAGCGCTCTTTGCACTTCTTTGAAGCAGCGACAATGCTGACTGCGTACCGTAGCGGCATTATTGAGTATTGATTGGGTCGAGTAACTGCCAAAATTTAAAATTTCGTTAAGAAAAGTTCGAACAAGTTGACTTGTTTTGCAAGAAAAACACACAAAAAAACAAAATTACGACATTACGAAAAGCTAGTCAACTCTTCAGTTTTCAAAAATAATCTCTTTCTTTTCTGTTTAGAAATAAGGAAAAATCATTTTGTTGGTTTCATATGAAATTCAACGAATGTTGTTAGTATTGAAAATCGCACGACTTTACAAAACTCTCTGTGGGATGGATTCCGCATTAGGCAACAACCACGTAGGTCTTAAATAATTACGTAGGCTTCCACCACAACGTCACTGAACTGATTCATCATCCAAAAACATCATATTTTGATGAGAATCCACCACCGGCATCTCAACTTCATCAGCATAAACTGAACTGATTTCATGTCTGAATGCTGGAAGCTTTGCAATCATATAACTTTTTTCTCATTTGCTTCTCATTTTAACTTTTCGCCACAACAATTCATTCATTCGAAGGCTATCAAAATCAATCTGAAATTGATTAAACCACAATAAAACAACACAAATCTTCAGAAATGCTCAACAAGTGTTCACAAGACAAACCTTCTTCTACGAGCACTTCTACGTGAACTACGTGAGCGGGAACGACGTGAAGAACGTCTTCGCCTGCTGCTACTGCGATACGATCGTGAACGATGGTGTGATCGACGATCTCTGTCACGATCACGCGATCGCGAGCGTGATCTCGATCGTGAACGCTCTTTCTCGACTATGGGTGATCCTGAACGAGAGCGCTCCAGGTCCTCTTCTCGATCGTTTGGCTCGTCGTCTCTATCGTCCTCTTCGATCGGTGAACGTGAACCATCCGGAGACGCAGAACGTGAGTGTGTACGTGAGCGTGAACGTGACGTGGATCCACGATGACGGTGATGACGATGACCACGCATATTGCCATTTTTTTCCATCACAGGTGATCCATCGTCGCGATCCGAGAGTCCATCCACGGAACGTGAACGACTGCGTACTGCCATTGGGCTATTTCGCTGAAATTCGTTTATTTTGATAGCAATTAAGACTGGAATCTTCATTGATCCTTGCAGTGAAATGAGAATGAGAAAAATATGAGAGTACATGAAACTTTAATTGGATCTTTTATGAAGCAACTGGATGAGTCTTATTCTATTTGGTGATGAGTTTGATATGTGGTTAATTGAAAACCATGAAATTGCTCGAAAAATTTTAGAGACTGTCAGAACAGATGGTGCTCTAAAAGAGAGTTTGAAGAAAACTCTTCAGAGAAAAGCTTATGACTACACTGAACTCACCACATCTTCGTCACTGCTCATAATTGATTTGTAGGTATTGGTTGTACCGCGTAAGTTGTGCACTGAAAACTGACTTATAGGTTAGTTGGAGTCAATGATATAAACTTTAGAAATTTCAAGAGTGCAACAGCGATAACTCTGACATTTTCTAGCAATATAATTTCTAACGGAATCATCAAGTTTTGAGGCAGAACAACGAACGAAAGTTATGCGATTCACACCTGGTCAATAAGACTAAACAACACAGCAGCACAATGAGCGCTATACCCTACGAAAACAATGAACATAATCGATGCTTTCTGATGAACTTCTTTCATATTTATTCAATATTCAATTTCTCGATAACGCAAACAATGCATACACTACTATAAAATCAAACAAACTACACGAATATGGCTACACTTCAACAATAACACCAACAACGTACACTCGATATGAACGCTAGCATTTAGCATATTACGTGACAAATCGACGACAGAACAGTATAACTATTATAGATAGTTATACTGTTCTGATGACACGTGGCTGTGGTAAGCATAAGCTGATAGGCTCTCTATCGTGCACATCTTAAACGCTCATCATCATTTTTCTTAGGTGCAGTTGAATTGATATCAAAATGAATCAGTGAGGAGGCAGCTGACAGCCAAAACATGGAGAACACTCAACAGACTTTAACTAAAGAACAAACTAAACGTGCTTGACGTTAACACACGGTCAATGCTAATTTCGAAACTCGCTCTAACACACATAATGACGAACCAAAAACCCGCAAAAGATTCACAATTTTCGGTAACCCCGTTTTCGGAACTCCGCTCAACATGTTCACAAGGCAGAATTAGAAAAACAAACGAAACATTCTCAAGAAAAAAAAATGGAAATGCCCAGAAAAAACATGGTGATTAATACGTCTCGCATTAGAGATGTTATACAACAAATTTTTTTTGCCAACGGCATATATCGCCACAACTCTCACATCGCTGGTGGTCCAGCTATCTAAATAGAGTGACAGTTCGCCAAGTGACGAAACTCACATTATTATTCGATCGATGCTAACGAATGTGAATATCTTGCCTATTGAAAGGGAATAAATGTGAACAATTTATCTATCATTTTGTACCGTAAGTCCAGGTGAATGGAACTTGAACAATCGAGGTTATTGGACTATCAAATAAACGCACAATAATATCAAAAATTCAGGTGTTCGATTATCGGACCAGTTTCATTTGTTGACCTAAATAATTAATCAATTACTATCCATTAATTACGACAGTTAATCAACTAATGTCATCGTCATAGTTCCTTTTGATGGTGGTATTTCAGGAGATTATTCCACTTTCGATCCAAATCAATTCAGTCTCAGCTAGGTATTAACAGCAATCAAACACAACATCAATCAACGTTCAATACAACTTTAGATAGCATCATGACAATATTCATTTTGAAGTATATAATCTGACAGTATTTTGATGTTCGGTCAAGACGAGTAGGATATTGAATTGGTCAGAGCAGGAGTATATTCATGATTACATACTCGACATGATATATCCCGAAAGAACATGATATATCTCACAGAATGTGTGTAACATCACTCGTGCCCTCAAAGTATGACCATGTTCCAGAGTCTACATGAAGTTGAGCTAGGTATCTGTATTTTCTCCTATGTATCTGAAAATGTAATGTTTGATCTGGGTACAATGCATCGAATGTTGGTGACAATGGGAATACCCGCTTTATAGAGAATTGAAATCTCTATTGGAACCAGTTTTCAGTTTCTATGTTGTGACAAACTTTTTTAGGAAGTGATGCCACTGAAAGAAGTGATTTGATGTAACCAGCGACGGAAGCGATGCATGCGTCACAACAGATTACGGTAGAATTTTCCCTCCCCGTGCAGCCTCCGTCCAATCACCGCCGAGTGTCCACCACTGCAGTGAATTTCTATTCTGCTACGTTCTTGAATTGTCATGTTCTGTTCTGCACGTTCACTTCATTGAAATCATTTTCTTCTGTTTCTGCGAATGGAACAGGAACAAACAATTCAATCGGAATAGAAACATCTCTTATGCTGAGGGTTGCCTCATAGAAATTAAGTAGCCGACTGGATGGAATTTTTAGGGACAAAGCTGAAAATTTGTGAAATTATAGAAGCATATGTGCACTGGGTATTTTGTTTCAGGTTCGATTTGATGTGCAATTTAAATCGACCTCCATGTAGATAAGGTGCAAGGAATTTCCCCATTTGTCTGTTACATACATTATTTATAAGAGATTAGCAACATTTTGCTATCAAATTATATACATTTACTCACAAGTGTTTATTGGTGCATATAAGAACGTATTGATATGCGAACATTGATTGACACATAATGGATTCATTTCATAAGAAAGCAATTAATTCCGTAGGAATTACGATCTCATNAAATGAAAAACGATCTTTCGAAACATGAAGTGACGCAGATTATGATGGATTGTGTCTGTGTTGGTGACCATTTCGAAAAGAATTTCACTGGACGAAATTCACTGACAAATTCTGGCTCACTCTTGACAAATCTTCGACTTTTCGGTATTCACCGGCTATCGGTTCCGCAAAATTTTTCGGCAAACTTCGAGCTATTGATCAATTTTCGTTCGAATTAAAATCTCTGGATTATATGACGGTAAATGAGAGCGAGGCAGCATTACCATACAATATGTTAATTGAGGTTTGGGAAAAAATGTCAAGCAAAGAGAATGACTCAGAAAAAAGAATCAATAATTGAGTCATTGGAAGGAACTATCAAGAAGAGAACACAACAGTGGGTAAGTGGTAAATGAAGGATAACATAAAATGGATATGATAATGGAAACGAAGGAGGATATTCGGATTTATCACAGAAGAACAGGAAGACGCATCTGCAGGCATTTTGACCGCTTCGTAGAATTGGTTATCCTGGTGAGCGAGATTGAATCGATCGTTTAGAAGTGCGACTGTCAGCCTCACCGTCAAACGACTGTTCAAATGCCGCAGCAAACTCGGCAATTTGTCGTTTCAGACGTTTCTCCTTTCGGCTCTTTCTGAAACGACAGATCTAAAAATGATTGAACAAAACATAGGGGACATTTATTGTTTGGTGATTATACCAAACGTTGAACTTGAAATTCACTCATTTCTTTGATTGATTGATTCGTTCTGAAATTGCAATTGATTCTAGTTCGATCACTCAAACAAGCTTCGATAAATTCAAACGTTCGTTCGTCCACATAACGAAAATTTCTCATCCTTCATTTGATTATTACCACTGAGTATGAGATAAATCCGTCTCAGAAACTTACGAATATCTCATTTATGAATTCGCTATAATCGAAAATTCGCTGTTAAATTCGCTCAACTCATAGGAGCACTGATATTAACAGCTCATTACTGGTAAACGTGATATGATACGAGCAAATGATAAGGTGAAACCCACAAATATGGATAAATGACAACATTCTGTTAGGAGGACGAACGCTGAAGGTTAATTATGATTGAGTGCTTTCAAACGTATCAAAGTGAAATACACAATGTCATAATCTCACCACTGTTACCATTATCACTCGTGATGTTATCTTTGTTATCAGTGAAATAATCAGACACACGATGTATCGTTACTTGCTGACTCAGATTCCATAACACGAACGACGTTACTTTCATTAGCTATCAGCCATTGCTACGAATCGCTCCTGTGTGAATCCTTGTTGACGGGATCGTCGTTCCAGTTTCTAATACACTAACACGTTATGCCTATGAAAATCGACTGGATTATCATTATTCTCACTTTTTGCCATCACTATTACCGCTGTCATACACTGATTCTGATATCACCCGCTGTTGTCTGTTGCTCATTTTATGATATTTTACATGCACAATCCAGGAATACACTCACAATTTCGTACTCATTCAGCTGTTCGTGTGATCATCAATTGATCTCTATGATCTGTTTCGTTGATATGGTGTAATTGACTGCTGCATGAATGTGCGGTAAAGGCAAGCAAATTTTGCTATTGTTTATATTAATATATTGCATAATCTTACAGTCTGTCCAAAGAAGAACGATTCGCAACGAAATACAAACAGAATTCAATCAAAATAAGTTCAATAAATCAAAAAAAAAACGAACTCAACAATGAAAGTCAATTAATCGATGTGAGTTATTATCAAAAGACGACAAATATTAACGGCAAATGGCAAATGATGGTTAATGAGTGAGTGAGTGTTCATGTATGCAGATGTGTTTGAGTGAGGCAAGTTCACGAAAATGTTCGCTGACTGGCAAAAAAATGATCGACTGATAACGGAATTGATTCGGAATCCATGTTTCTTAATGATGATGACTGTTACGGACACGAAATTTCCATCTTATACAAATTCTTCAATTTGATTTAATCGATATCAAATTAAATTATTAAAAATCATGAACTAAACTGATGAAAATTGATTCGTTCGTGATGAAAATGTGGGCAAGATATTGCATTCGGTTGTTGGGAGGGTTCATCACATTATATGTGAATAAAATAGACAGAAATTCGGCAATGAGTGAAATAAAAAGGGCAACCTTAAATATCAGTTGTGACATTTACAGATTTGTACATAAATGTAACATGTCATAACCATTATTATTATTAATATTATTATTATTATAGCACATTTTATACAGTGTTCAGTGGTTTTGTTCAATGGGCTCCATCAG